GCTGCAGTGAGCCAAGATGATGGTGCCACTGCACTCCAGCGTGGCGACAAAGCAAGACTCCATCTCAAAAGAAAAAAAAAAAAAAAGAAAGATGCAGGTTAGCTGGTGAGAATCTGACAGGAACTGCAGCCATTTAGGAGGAAAAAGAAATCTAGTGTTCTATGATCGACCAAGAAACAGCTATATTTATTCACAAAAGTGAAGATGCAGATAGATACTGAGTTATGATGAGAGAACGGCCGGGCATAGTGGTTCATTCCTACAGTCTCAGCACTTTGGCAGGCTGAAGCGGGAGGATCACGTGAATCCATGGTTGAATCTCATCTCTACAAAAAATAAACAACATTGGCTGGGCATGTTGGCATGCACCTGTAGTCTCAGCTACTCAGGAGGCTGAGACAGGAGGATCACTTGAGCCCAGGAGATTGATTGAGGCTGCAGTGAGCTGAGATGGCACCACTGCACTTCAGCCTGTGTGACAGAGCAAGACCCAGTAGCAGAGAGAGAGAGAGAGAGAGAGAGAGAGAGAGAGAGACAGAGGGAGAAGCAGAAGGAGGGAGAGGGAGAATGAAAACAATAAAAGAAGAAACAAGAATATTTAAGCAAGTTTTAGTGTTGCAGTTATTCAAATACCCATGTAAATAAAATTGAAAGAGAAATGTAGGTTTAAACCTTCCCCATCCAAAGCAGCATAACGGCCAAAGCAGAACTGGCTGGTATGTGGATATGTGAATTCTTCTTATTAATATTGATTGATTGATTGATTTTTTGAGATAGAGTGTCTCTCATTGCCCATGCTGGAGTGCAGTGGTGCAATCTTAGCTCACTGCAGCCTCCACCTCCGGGGTTCAAGCAATTCTCCTGCCTCAGCCTCCCGAGTAGCTACAATTACAGGTGCCCACCACCACACCCGGCTAATTTTTTTTTTTTTTTTTGTATTTTTAGTAGAGACAGGGTTTCACCATGTTGGCCAGGCTGGTCTCAAACTCCTCACCTCAAGTGATCCACCTGCCTCAGCCTCCCCAAATGATGGGATTACAGGTGTGAGCCACCACGCCTGGCCTGTGGAGAGTTATTTTTCAAGGAAGTGATGACAACACTGAATTGGGTTGTTCTACTACTTCAAGAGGTTCTCTCTTCCCAGCTTCTTTGGGAGAGCTGGAACCAGAGGCCCTGCCTCCTTTGTATGACTTTTGTGAGGTTCCTTTCTCCTTCAGACTCAGTTTCTTCATTTCTGAAAAATGGGAAGCCAGGTAGCACAGCACACAGCTGTAGTCCCAGCTAGCCAGGAGGCTGAGACAAGAGGATCGCTTGAGTTCAGGAATTTGGGGCTACTATGCTCCATGACTGCGCCTGTGAACAACCACTGCACTCCAGCATGGACAACAGAGCAAGATCCCATTTCTTTAAAATATTATTTAATTTTTTGAGGCAGAGTCTTGCTCTGTTGCTCAGGCTGGAGTGCAGTGGTGCCATCTCAGCTCACTTCAACCTCTGTCTCCTGGATTCAAGAGATTCTTATGCCTCAGCCTGCCAAGTAGCTGGGATTACGGGCATGTACCACCATGCCTGGCTAATTTTTTGTGTTTTTAGTAGAGATGGGGTTTCACCATGTTGTTCAGTCTGATCTTGAACTCCTGACCTCAGGTGATCCACCCGCCTTGGTCTCCCAAAGTGCTGGGATTACAGGCATGAGTCACCGTGCCTGGCCTCACAGATACACTGTATATCTGCTTATGTACTATGTGTACATCTGCTTTATGCATAAAAACAGTAAGATTTTTTGCTCCTTAAGAACTACATTCCCCCTCTTGGAGGTAATACTGTCCCCGAGAGTTATGTTCTAATGGGAGAATAGGGGTCTGTGTACAGAAACAGTCATTCTAAATCATCTCTAACTTACTTAGGTGTCCTATTTCATTTCTTCTTTTGCCTGATTTATTTGATTCTTTGCATGTAACTACTTGGCACAACCTCAAAGTATTCTTCTACTATCTAAATTCTCTGCAAAGGGCTAGGTGTGGTGGCTTATGCCTGTAATCCCAGCACTTTGGGAGGCCTAGGTGGGAAGATCGCTTGAGCCCAGGAGTTCAAGACCAGCCTAGGCAACACGGTTAGATTTTGTTTCTATAATACAAAAAAATAAAAACAAAAATTAGCCAGGTGTGGTGATGCATGCCTGTAGTTCCAGCTACTTGGGAGGATGGGGTGGGAGGATTGCTTGGGCCTGGGAGGTTGAGGCTGCAATGAGCCAAGATCAATCATGCCACTGCACTCCAGCCTGGGAAACACAGCAGGACCCTATACTGATCGATCAATCGGTTGATTGATGGATAGATGATTGATTGATAGATAGATACTCTTCAATAACTCACTTCTTTTGAGAGGCTGAGTGGTATAACATGAGTTTGGTAGACTCACACTTGCCCAGTCTTGCCCTCCCTCCGTCTGAGCAGGTGTTAAGCCCTACGACACTCCCCAGTGCAATGTCTGCATCCTCATCTCCACCGGAGTCTGCTTTCCAGGGAGCGCTGAATCCACAATGCAGGTCGCTATGTAGATGAGGTTGTCCCGAGGCAGACTCTGTTTTTCTTTAGGGAAACCTCATTTCTGCTCTTAGGGCCCAGTGAATCAGGCCACCCAGATTATCAAGGATAATCTCCCTAATTTAGAGGGAACTGATTATGGATTTATAATCCCATCTCCAAAATACCTTCACAGCAATACCTAGCTCAGTGATTGACTGAGTAGCGGGACTGTAACCTGGCCAAACTGCAGCATGAAACTGACTATCCATCTTTTGTCAGCTTGACGCCTGTAAACATTTCCTTAAGCCATACTTAATCCCTAAACAAAAACAATGACAAGCTCATTCTTCTGCCTAACATGAAACAACCAACCTGCATAAAGCCAAAACACGCGAACCCCTTCCCCAGAAGATGATGCCAAGTTCCTGAGTAATGTTGACTCCTCTGCCTTGATATCTTGTATCTTAAATACTATGATAGGAAGTTAAATATTACTAATACACCTTATGTTAGATGATGAGAAGGAAAAACATGAAGTATTTGAATATAAACATCTGCATGCCAAAATAAGAAAGAAATACAACAATTATAAACATCATTTCTGCAACTGGTCATAGCTGGTATTGATCGCTACCTTCTCCCACTACCCATTCCATATTCCCTTTACTCTCAGCAAACACCTCAGTTAGTCATGGTTCTTTGCCTGGTAGAATGTCCCAAGCCTTGATTTCCAAAAGGTCTGACCCATTAGCAGTCCTACCTGAATTGGGTTGTTAAAATTTTCAATGGACTTTTATCACAGGACGTGTTGGCACTGAGAAACACCCCAAGGGATCGCCTATATTCCAGACATTCCCTTCCTTCCCTCTATTGTGTAACAGCAACCCGATCACCCTTGGAAATCAGAATGGATCGCCCCAGCCAGAACAGTAACCCGTTCTTTTCTGGATGATTCAGAGACGTGGGAAACCCAAAGTGACCTGGTGGCGGTCTCAGATTCAGTTCAGTGGAATCGTTGTTGTGTCACCTAGTGGAAGAAGAGAACCCTGAAGTGTAGGATATGAGCATCTGGACTGATGTCCCTGAAAATCTTGGGTCTTTATATGTCCCTGAACCCTCCTATTTTGCAGAAGTGTCCTCTCCTCTCTAGGAAAGTCTGGTGTTTCTCCATGAAACTGCACCAGAGAACTATGTCGCATGGGAGAGCCGGAAGGACACCCTATTTAACAAAACAGCAAGGAACGTAGTGCTGAGGGTGGTCCCAGAATCTGTGAAGCTCAGTGGTTGGCTTTCTTCGCTGGTGGAGAACGGGGTTCTCCAGCAGAGATTATACAGGTCAAGTGGCAGCAGGTAGCCATTGCGACCCAGGTAAGCATCTTCTCTTTTTTTTTTGAGCAGAGTCTCACTCTGTTGCCCAAGCTGGAGTGCAGTGGCACCATCTTGGCTCACTGCAACCTTTGCCTCTAAGGTTCAAGTGATTCTCCCACCTCAGCAACCCATGTAGCTAAGATTACAGGCGCACATCACCACGCTGGCTAATTTTTGTATTTTTAGTAGACACGGGGGTTTCACCATGTTGGCAAGGCTGGTCTGGAACTCCTGACCTCAAGCAATCTGCCTGCTTTGGCCTCCCAAAGTGCTGGCATTACAGGCATGAACCACGGCACCCAGCCAGCACCTTATCTTAATAAGTGGTAAGATCAGAGTAGCAGCCAGGGTGGCGTGGCGCCATGCTCGTCCTGCAGAGAAAAACCGAGGTCCAAGAATCTGCTGTGTGGCCCCTGCCTGTGACCAGGCTCAAACTCCTAAGTGCATTCTACCCCTGCCAAATGAAGTAGGGTCTGTTTGCCACCAGTTAGTCTCCAGTATTAGAAGTAAGGGCACACTTAATTTCTACTTTCTTCCTTTTCTTCATCCTCTTCTTCTTTTTTTTTCCAATTCGCTGTGGATAATGGCTTCCAGCTTCATCCATGTTCCTGCAAAGGACATGAACTCATTCTTTTTTACTGCTGCATAGTATTTCATGGTGTATCCATCCTCTTCTAATAGCAATATCGATAATAAAAATACAACAAACTGCTTTATCTTGATTATGAGATAAACTGTAATGATTTCAAGACTAAAACACTTTTGCAGCAGATCGGCAATGGCCAGAACAGTTTGGTTAAATTTTATTCATTTTTAAAAAATCATAATATATAAATACATTGGGAAAACTGACGTTTGTTCTCCCAGGGAGAATGATCAAGGCAGAATTTTGAGAAGTTCTCTGTGCATCTAGGGGAGGAGGAGAGAACGGGAAACAGACAGAATTGTCATGAAACAATTTCTTTTTGCTTTGTCCAAGAAAGCCAGAAGAATTTGCCAAAAGATAATCTTCCTAAAGGACTAACTCACTGGCTCTCCTCCCCGACGCTCTGCCTTTTCTCCTGTTCATAGTACAGCCTATTGCTCTCTGGTGCTTATAGTTTTGAGTAATTTCCATGAATGGGGTTGAAGAACTCAGTGAATCATACCATTCTCTCCATTCTCTACTCTGGGTTCTGAAATTAAGAACACACACAGGAATCAAACGGGATATATTGGTGAGCTTTTCCTCTGTGCTTGGGCCTGCGGGCTGAGTGGGCTTCTTACTGTTACTTCCTAGGCTGAGCAAACTCGCTGGATCCCAGGCAGGGCGTGGAATGACTGCAGGCTCATCCCATAGGGCGGGGCTACTCGGATGTGCATTCTGCATGGACGATTCAGGCAAAGAAGGTGGATTCATGCCCTGGCTCTCCTCCCCCACACTCTGCCTTTTCTTCTGTTCATAGTACAGTCTATTGCTCTCTGGTGCTTATAGTTGTGAGTTATTTCATGCAGCTCGAAGGGCAGCAGTAGCCAAGGCAGAGATGTGCTGCTGATAAGCATGACTTTTACTGAATTTCCAAGACAGAGCCAAGGAGATGTGCTGCTGACAAGCATAACTTTTACTGAATTTACCAGTTCTGAAGAGGAACGTGGAACAATACTTTAGACTGTCACTGCATGTGACATATTTGCAAATAGCACCAAACATAGAGAAGGGCTAGTGAGAAGTGGAAAGAAAGCAGCAACTCTTTCCTACCAATCCTTGGAAAGGTGGGAGTCTTGGTAGACTTTTTATTTTTTTTTGAGACAGTCTCGCTCTATCACCCAGGCTGGAGGGCACTGGCACGACCTTGGTTCACTGCAAGCTCTACCTCCTGGGCTCAAACAATCCTCCTACCTCCACCTCCCAAGAAGCTGGGACTACAGGCACATGACACCACGCCAGTCTGGTCTCAAACTCCTGAGCTCAAGCAATCTTCATGTTTAATGGTCCCAACAAATCAACCAACTTGAAATAAAACGAATGTCAACAAAATGGAAATAAGTAAGTGAATCATGGTACATCCACACCGTGCATTATTTTGTGGCCATTAAAACAATCTTTCTTGGGAAGTTTTAATAACATGAGAAAAGCTCATGTTATGATTTTAGTGTGATGAAAAGAGGGTCCCTTTACAATCTCATACTGTGAGAGTTGCTTTCTGTGCCTTTATCGCCTCCAAGTCCCAGACATTTTGACTACGTCACATTTTGACTATGTAAAAATGATTTAAAAAGAATAGAAGGAAATATGAAAATAAGTTCACATGGCTACCTCTCGATGGTGACGATAAGTAATTTTTGGTTAGTTTATGTTTACTCTCTGCTTAGCAAAATTTCTGAAACATCTGCATTAATGGCGAAATAAAATTTTCAGTTTCTAGACAGGTTTGGTTAACATATGTTTAAAAACAAAGCGGGCCAGACATGGAGGCTCACACTTATAATCCCAGCACTTTGGGAGTCCGGGGCAAGAGGACTGCTTGAGGTCAGGAGTTCAAAACCAGCCTGGGCAACATGGTAAGAACCCCCATCTCTACAAAACATAAAAAAATTAGCCGGGTATGGTGACACACGCCTGTGGTCCCAGCGACTTGGGAGGCTGACGCAGAAGTATCACTCGAACCGAGTAGGTTACGGCTGCAGTGAGTCATGTTAGTGCCACTGTATGACAGCCTGGAAAACAGAGATCGAGTCTGTTGGAAAAAACCTATTAAAAGTAAGTAAATAAAACCAAAGTGTTTCCACAGCTAATTCTTTTCACAAACTTGATGGTGATTTGGGAGTTCATAATTAGGCCAATTATTTCTGATCATTGACATTAAAATGCTGAGCTGACCTAAGATGTTCATGAAATTTATTCAAACAAACCAGCCCAATTTTAAATTTAATTGGAGGGTATAAAAACACTTCATTAAAACTGATAATGAGATTTTAAAAATTGACAGCTTTTTCTTTACAGTTCCTGTTGTTTAGGGGAAATTAAAGTTACTTGGGAACACTGTTTACTTAACAGGTAATCAAAGTAATGCAGATTAAAAAACAATGATTGCCTTTGTTTGCTTATCAACTTGTCATAGATTTAAAATAAAGATATTCCTTTATTGGTGGGGCCTCAGCAAATGGACCCTTTCATCCCATGACCTCAGGCATAAAAGTTAGGTCAACTTTTTGGGAAAGCAACTTGGCAATACAAATCAATAGTTACAAAATGGAATCCTAAGTATATGAAAAATTAATATAGCAAAGTCTTAAAAGACACCTACCAAAATGCTAGTAGAAACCATCTCTGAGAGGTAGGATTTAAGATATTTCAATATTCTTTTTAATTAAAAAATATTTTCATAGCAAAAAACTGGAGTCAACCCAAGTGCACAACGACAGGAGAATGGATGAATTATCCACACAGTGGAATATCACAAAGTAGTCAAAACGAACTACTATAATGACAGGTAACAGTACGGTTACATTTTAGTAATATATTAAGTGGAAAACTAAGTTTAAAAAGATTGTGTTCACTATGAATTTGTTTTTCACATTGAACATTAAAAAACAGAAGTAGATATGTGTGTGTCAGAATTCTCTAGAGAAACAGAACTAATAAAATGTGTGTATATAAAATCATAATATAAAATGATTTATATTTTATATAAACATGTATTTATTATAAGGAATTAGCTCACATGGAGGCTGGCAAGTCCAAAATCTGCAGGGTGGGAGACCCAGGAGAGCCATTGCTGTAGTTCAAGTCCAATGGCAGGCTGCTGTAAAGCCAGGAAGAGCTCAGGCTGTGGATGAAGTACAAAGGCTGTCTGCTGGAGAATTCCCTGTAGCTCAGAGGAGGCCCATCTTTTTGTTCTATTCAGGCCTTCAACCAACTGGATAAGGGTCACCCACATTACGGAGGCAATCTGCTTTACTCAGAGTCTATAAATTTAAACATTAATCTCATCCAAAAACACCTCCACAGAAGAACCTAGAAGAACATTTGATCAAATATCTGGGTACCCTGTGGCCCAGCTAAGTTGACACATACAATTAACCATCACAATGTGTGCGTATACATATATGTACGGATGTATAAATATGCATGTGTGTGTGCTTGTGTGTGTATACACATATACATAAAGGCAAAAAATACAAAGAAAAACAAAGTAATGATAGTTTGTAAATTCAGAATGATAGTCATCTCAGCTGAGAGGAGGCAGAAAGATGAGATGGGAGAGGACCACGTAGGTCACAGTTGGGGTCCTGGTTCTTACTTTGGGTGGTGTGTTCCCAAGTGATTATTATACTATTAAAAATAATAAAATAAATATAAGCAGGCCATGCTAGACCAATGATGAGCATGTCTGTCAGGAAGCAAGGATTAATCAAGCCCATTCTATGCAACTGAAGTCACTGATTTTTTCCTTTATATTTTTTCTACATTTCCTAAAATTTCTACAGGGAGCAGGTATTTCTTGTAGTCAGAAGACATACTAATATGTTGTTCTTTTAAAAATCCTGTGCTGGGCCGGGCGAGGTGGTTCATGCCTGTAATCCTAGCACTTTGGGAGGCCGAGGTGGGTGGATCATGAGGTCAAGAGACTGAGACCATCCTGACTAACATGGTGAAACCCCGTCTCTACTAAAAATACAAAAATTAGCTGGGTGTGGTGGTGGGCACCTGTAATCCTAGCTACTCAGCTCAGAAGGCTAAGGCAGGAGAATCACTTGAACCTGGGAGGCGGAGGTTGCAGTGAGCTGAGATTGCGCCACAGCACTACAGCCTCGGTGACAGGGTGAGACTCCGTCTCAAAAACAAACGATAATAACAAAAAACTTCTTTTTCTATACGAAGTTAGCCTTGGTACATGCCATTGGATTTAATGTAATTTAATTAAACAAATACATTTTGAAGGCTTACTAGGATAAATCTTTGAGGACAAATAACACGACATCCCTGTTCTTAAATAGTCTGGGGGACTGGTGATGTGGATTTAGATTTCCCTCTACGCCCACCTAAGCCCCTATCTCATTGGTGATTGGCAGGATTCTTGCTTAAACAAGTCTAAAGAGTTTAGAATACTATAAACAGGATCACTAAGTTCTCCAGGTTTTACTTTGTCTTTTATAGGTGCAAAATCTTTCTCTTTCTTTTATCCCCTATTTTTCTTGTGATGGTGTAAAACACTCGAACAGCTAAGATCAGGTATTACTTGTCTCTTCGCTAGGTTTCTAACTGGAATTCCCCTCGTGTGATCCTCTATAAGATAGAACAGTTAACAGCCTGGCTTCATGTTTTGATGAATAATCATTAGATAAGAGACATTTCTCTGAAATGGAAAATATCATTTATACTTTCTACTGGAATTGGCTGGCAGTTTCCACAGCTGCTCAAATTCTTGCTGATTACTCTTGAATAGAGCCTTTTGTTTTGCCGGCTCTCCTTATGTAAACCGTCTTTATTTTCATTGGAGAGTCTATTATAAGTACAATTACCTGTTAATATTAGAATAATTTCTTATTCCAGCTGGCAGAGAACTAACTGATGATTCTCTTCTTTTTGGCTTCTACATGCTAATAAAGTGTACACAGCCTGACCTAGAATTGTGGACTTTTTGTTTGGAAAACTGTAAAGCATTTAATGTCTCTAGTGACTCATGAGAATTCTTCATGCTTCTCAAAACACCATTTTCATGACAGGAATCTCCTGTCATTTCCTAAATTAAAGCATGGATTTTCTTCTTAAACCAATAAACTTACTTATTTCGTTGAATCATTTAATTACAAAACCTAATGTTGCTTCTGTTTTGTTGTTGAATGATTCAATATTTAAACTCTTTCTCTGTGAAATAAAAAAGCTATTTTGATTTACTAAAACAAATGGTAGTTTGTGAATTAAAAGAAAGCAGATTAAAAAACACAAGCAAAAACCACAAAATTGTAGTTTTGGCAATTTACACGGCCATCCCTCCAAACAGGGTTTCTTAAATTTTTCACTTTCCAAACAATATCAAGTTATCTTAAATGAGACAATTAAAAGCTAAGACAATAGCTTTGATTCTGTCAAAATGTATTGGAAATTCTCTCTCTCTCTCTCTCTCTCTCTCTCTCTCTCTCCACCTTCCCTCCCTTCCTCCCTCTCCCTTCCTCCTTCTCCCTTCCTCCCTCTCCCTTTCTTTCCTTCCTTCTTTCTCCCTTCTGTCTCCTTCCTTTCTCTCTCTCTCTCTCTGTCTTTCTTTTTGACGATGTTTTGCTCTTATTACCCAGGCTGGAGTGCAATGGCAACTTCCACCTCCCAGGTTCAAGAGATTCTCCTGCCTCAGCCTCCCAAGTAGCTGGGATTACAGGCACCTGCTAACACGCCAAGCTAATTTTTGTATTTTTATGGGAGACGGGGTTTCACCATGTTGGCCAGGCTGCTCTTGAACTCCTGACTTCAGGTGATCTGCCTGCCCCGGTCTCCCAAAGTGCTGGGATTACAGGCATGAGCCACTGTGCCCAGCCTCTTTACTCTTTATTGGCTTTTAAGGAGAAAGGACCTAAGGACTACTTGGGTTTACTAGTGGGTTTTTGTAGTACTGATGGAACATGGGCACAGAGGATTGGAAGA